ATGATGAAAGACGAAAACTACCGCCAAAATATGAAACCTTCTATGAAAGATGTTAAATTTAATAGTTAATAAATATTAATGGATCAATGAATAAATAAAAATCTATTAAGTTTCGAAACTACAAGTTTTTAGCATCGTTAAATATTAGCCATTAAATATTTGTTATTTGAAAGGCAGGTAATTTATAAAGAATCGAATAGTATACAATAAATTCTCTATAACGTACTGTTGGTTCTGGACATGAAAGTTCGCTATATAAAATTACAATTTTTTATACCGAACTAATATAACATTTAAGAATAGTTCGTTATTTCCAGGGGTTCGTTATAAAGAGAATTGACTGTATTTGTATTTTATTTTTTAATAATAATAAAAAAAAAAAAAAAAGCAAGAGGAGTTTACTGTTACCCATATTAACGTGAATAATCATTGCGAAATGATAAATAACTATAAATCATCGTGAAAATGTTAGTTTTTTTTTTAAGAGAAAATAGTTACATTTAACCGGGGGAATTTCCTATCCTTAAAATTTAGGGTTAACGTTAAGGTGTAATTTTAGACAAAGTTTAGGGTTAGATATTAGAGCCCCAATTTTAGTTAACATAAGGTTTTTGAGGGTTCTGAACATTTTTACTTAGTATCCCTAAAGTGTGTTAGTACGTTTTTGAAATATATTTTAATTCAAACGAACACAAACCCGTGTACCGTTTTATGTTTATAGTTAATCATCTTTTACCTTTATTAATTCAATAGTTTATCAATAACTATTAATCAATAAAGATAAGGATGATTAATATATAAGCATGAACCGGTACTCGGGTTTATTTTTGTCCGAATTAACCCAATCGGAAATGTCGGGTGGTGATTTCAAGACAAAAAACCATATTACAAAATTATAACTTACGTGCATCGCTACTCCCTGATTGACTAATTATAAGGTTAGAATGGCTTTGTTTTGATTTAAGGTTTTATGTTACACATTTTTTTAGTTTCGTCAAGTTTCGTCAAGTTTCGTCACCTTTCGTCAGTCTTTTAAAAATTTTTAACGAAAGACGAATCTAGTTTCGTCTAACAACACTATTAACGACACAAAATTTTTATATTGAAATAGTTTGACATTTTTTGGGTGGCAAGACATTGTATCTGAAAGGTAATATTCGTTTTATTTTTTGAATTGAAGGGTTGAATAATATTAACACGGTTTTGAAGACCTATACTACAAAATAAAATGAAAGAATGTGTTTGCGAAATCTTTTTGGTTTCTATATAAATAGGAAATTAACTAATCAGTGCAGCTCTGTGAAAAAAAAAATTGCGGCCCGGATGGTAGTCACGAGCAATTTTTCAACCAATCAGTTCATTTGACAGACCTATTGAGGGAGACACTTTGAATCGAGCAGTTCATTATTCATCGTTCTATTCGCAAACGGTTTCACAAGCCTGTTATGACAAGAACTCAAATTGTTTTTGAACTATATTTTGTCGTTATGATAAACAATAATAGATTTATATATTCACTACATATGTACACTATGTGGAAATAAATGCGAATATTATTTTGTCATGATAAGTAATAACAGTTTCATATATTCACTGAATATGCACATTATGTGGAAAGTTGAATATTAAACTACATTAATGTTGATATCTATTAGCACATAATATTTTTTAGCTATTAATATATTTCATTATTCACATATAATATTTTTTAGCTATTAACATATGTAATATTCTTTATAAAATAATACATTTGATTTTTAGAATTAATTTTTTTTTTTTGGTAAATCATGCTGTTAATCTAAAATTATTCCAGACTCGCGATCTTTTTCACGTAATCGTTGTTGTTGAATTGCACTTTGTCTTTTTGACGTAGCTGAAGTATCTATGTTATCTGTTTCCTTTTCAGGTCGACCAAATACGGTAAGAACATAAAGTCCACGCATCATATTTCTGAAGCAAATAACGGAATAGATTATAGTAACTGTTACAAGAATAAATATTGTAGCTAAGAAAAAGGTTAGGAATCTTCGAGTGAATTCATACGGATCTCCTGTAAAACAAATAAAATGTAGGGTTATGTGAATGGATATTCAATGAACATAATTAAAATAAATCAATTAATCAATCTAAATAAATTAATAAATCTAAATAAATACCATCATTTGTTTGTAATTTAACATTAACAGTAATAAGTCGATATAGCCAGTAAACCAATGAGAGGGAATAAATATTGATCACCGATAATAAAAGATATTTCATTTCCATTGTTACAGAAAACCAAGCCATTACTAACATGACAGTACCAAAAAAAAAGACAAGAACAACCTCCACAATAGACAAGAAATAGGAAGAATAACCAATAGTTCGAGAAGGTACGAGTTGTAAAGCATATGATCCAATAAAAAATAGATCCATCTTAATCAATGTTTGTAAAATTGTGAGGGATATATGTGTGTTGCGGAGCTGAATATCAGCAGAATAAGTTTTGTAGTTTTCCCAACCAAATTCTTTGGCAAGCAAATAAGACATGAAAACCATATATACAGAAAAAGCAGATATTAGACCAATGATAGTATGTTCGATTGGTCGCATTCTAGCTTGAAAATAAAATTTTGGAGCATCTCTATCACCTATAGGAAAACGAGAATCCGGCTTATACTCAACATCTTTAGTTCCTTCATTTTCGAGAATTTCGTGTTGATAAAGCTGTATTCCCGCATATGCTAATGAAAGAAAATTAAATACGACAAGCCCTATTATCTGAACAGTATTGCGATGCCAGAGAGCATCAGCAGCTAGAAGCACTTGGAAGAATAGCGAGAGTATAAATCTTAAAATGATATAAGAGAAAAAAAGTGTCAAGTTTTTTTTTTTTTAAGTGATGATTTTTAAAATAGTTATTAAACGATAAATTATTTATAATACTTACATTGCATGGTAAATTAAATCAGCTTCAGATATTCCGTTACCTATAGCAGTAAGTTTATATTGGCTGACAAAATTTACATGAAAATAAACAACGAGAGCTTCTAAAACTGATATTATTATCGCTTGCAATACGAAAGAAATCAACGTGATTTTTCCTATGACAGATAATTTGACCATGGTTTATATAATTGAAAAATCAAGAATGAGATAAAAACTTTGCCGTTATTCCCTAATGTGCTTTATCAAATGAAAAAAAATGCAGGGGAATGAAAAGAATACATTCACGTCATATTTGTACAGCAGTAGACAATTAGGCATAAATGAAGTATATTTTATAATCGTATTGATTACCTAAATAAAGGTAACTAACCTGCAGGTGTCCGCCAAGTTTCTATTAGTGCTTTAGGATCTCATGCTAATCATTAATAATTGAGTATATGATACGTCAGAAGTTACACTTGATCCAAAATTACAACATAATGATCTAACTATAACGATATTCAATGGACCTTGGGGCACAACATATGAATTTGTAAATTTAAAGTAAATTTTGGGATTACCATTTAATTTTGTTATTATAACTTAAATATACGGCCTATACAATTTTTAAAGATCATGTAATCGTGTGATAATGGACATAACCGAAAATTAATCAGTGCGCGGAGTTTAAGAAATACAGTAATCCAAAAAAAAAAAATTCATTTATTAATTTTGTTTCTCCCTAATCTAAATCCTTGCTTTAAGTTTCTATTATTTTAATCTTTAGATTTTCATGATTAGCTGTTACGCAGAATTTTTCACAATGTCTTTGTTGGGATAGCTACACTCGGTATCTTCATCCGCTTATTTTTGCAATACAAATTTTTAAAAAGGAAACAAAGTTCAGAATCCGGATATGTATGAGAGGAAAAAAAAAAAGTCAAATTAATGTCCTTAGCGCATTAATTAAAGGTGATGGGAATGAAATTTATGCATATTGGCGGGTTTAATATTTTTTCAACAATAGATCATTTCTATTTACAGTCGAGATTGCTATTGGGGCTCATTTATGCAGGTGGTTCAAACATTTAATAAAGAAATAGCTAATCAGCGAGTTCAAAATTTTATCCCGAAAGGAAAAGAAGAAATAGAAATGTCCAAATCGACCTTGATGTTCTAATTAAGAATATAGGAAGCAATATATTACATAAGCAGCAAATTTATTTCAAATCCAGAACCAGAATGTATTTATTTTATATTAAAAATTTCTTTTTTTAGATTTGTGTTGCTCGAGAAAATGGGAAATCCCTCGACATTCTTGGGATCCAAAAACTCAAGCAATTGATCTTGGCATTTAATATTTCTGTCCTTTAATTTGTGTTTTGCCTTTATATGTTTGAAATTAATTAGGCTAGAACGGAGGGGAGTGGAGTGTTTGGCTGGATCGGATTGGAAGACCTAATAGCTATACTCTGGAATTTTGCCAATGCCCGGCTCCGCTCTGTAATTATGATAAATTTCGACAATCTCCTGTAGATACTTTTTTTAATCAACAATCGGCACATTAAAATCTATGGTTGTGATTATTTTCGCAAAAAAAAAAAAAAAAACTGATCAAAAGTTAGCATTGCCACAAATCAAGGGCACAGTAACATAACCCCTTCGATAATTCGAATCTAAGTGTACATTATTGAACAGACGACAAAAATTTCATGTTCAATCCGATAGTTAATATGACATGATTACGTAATTTTACGTAAAAATATCATGGATGGCAAAAAATTCACATGATCACATGAAATGTCGGATAACTTAACCATATTGCTGTAATTATAAATTGTGATTTGTTTCTTTGTTTCGTATTTCTTATTTGTATTTCATATTTTCATTTTCTATAATAAGAAACATTAATTCACATGTAAAATAATTCGGATAAATAAATGTAAAATAATCGGATAAATAATGTAGTACATAATATTTAAGAATATTTTCCTTTACCAGTGTACAAAATCTTTGTGTACAGTGTGCTCAGTGCTTTAAAAAAATTTCGCAAATTTTGGACTGAATAATGCACTAAAATTATCAATAAAATAAAATACAAAATACAGCATGTTCATTTTATACATTGCTTTTACGGTACAAAAAAAAAAAAATAAAGGCAAATTGAATCAAAAAAAAATTAAAAGAAAAATTAAAAAGTATAGGTCATCCGACGGGGTTATCCGTATGATCGACTGGTATATTCGGGTATAAACTTTTATCTGATAAACATTTATGTCAGTAATTGGTTAATTTATTTCATGAGCGTGTAAGAAATGTACCCAAATAAGATACAGATCAACAAGAGATAATTAAGTTTTCTTACTTTGCGTTATGAATATCAACCCTGATACAGTGTTATTGAAAGAAATCTGGAACTTCCACTATGATTTTAGATTTTCACTATTTCATCACAAAGAAAAATCTCATGAACCCTTCTATCTGTAGCACCAGTATTATCATGAGACAGTTGTGGACATGGGTTTGATACCTTTTGATATTTCTGAACAAATAAATAAATTAAAATTACTCAAAATTTTATTAACCTATTTTGACTTTCTAAATAAAAATATTCGACACTAAAAAATTTATAATCATATATTTTGTAAATTAATATATTAATTTTTGAACGATTTGACATTGGACATGACCTAAAAAAGCTTTGGACATGGACATAGTAGACGTGATAACACTTTGTAACGGGGTGCCGGTCAAAATCCCGACAAGCACAATCCTGACAGGTCAAAATCCCAATCCTGACAGGTTAATCCCGACAAAAAAATCCCGACAGTCAAAATCCCGACAGTCAGAATTTTCAAGTTGAAAATCCCAAATATGGGGTATGTTTAAAGCGAAGTAGACTCTTATAATTTAATTAACTTTAGGGCTAGGTCACTTTAGATAAGGGTTAGGCTAGGATTATACGATATTTTTTTTAATTGTCAGGATTTTTAACTGTCGGATTTTTGCCTGTCAGGATTTTTTTGTCGGGATTATGATCTGTCGGGATATCGTTTGTCGGGATTTTTTTGTCGGGATTATGACCTGTCGGGATTTTGACCCAAACCCTTAGTAACGTTATAGATCTGCGACAGGCTAATTTAAGAATTGAAAGTATTAAAAAATTTTGCCCGGATATGAACGATGCTTTATAAAGGGTGTGATCTTACATAGGATAAATCATTGATATTTCTTTGACTATTTAAGATGCATTTAAGAATTGCTTTTTAATTTCATCATGATTGTTGCAAATGTTAAATATCCATAAACAGGCCTTAAACGAAATATCAAAGAACTTCCAACCTACAATATATAAGTTTAATCAATAATATTCAAGAAGAACGGCAAATCATTAGTGTATAATGCTAGCCAACCAAAAGTACTCAAGAATAGGCAAACCAGACATTTTTGAATGCTAATAAAAAATAACGATGACGTAGATGTGTTTTACGTTTTTAGTATTTAGTCATAAGTTTAATCGCAAAATGACACAGATTTTTTCTAATTTAAGAATGATGTATATATTAATAAACAATTAATCTTTAAAACATCCCAAACACAACATTTTCAAAAAACAACTAAGACACTTATAATATCCCGGCTTATCAGATATACCTTCTATATGACTTTACGGGTTGCATTTTAACAGTAAATTTCATTATAGTATAGTATATAAGTTACTATATTAACTGTGCCTTTTCTTGCCGAAGTTTAAACTACAGTAATAACCTAATTTCTAAGCTCCAGACCTATAAAACGCCCCGTTTTTTTATTAGTTTATTTTATTATGCATGTAGCACGGAAATCAAAATCAAACCAAATAAAAAATATTTCGTTATTGTGCTTTCGTTTTTTTTTTTATCGATTTTGTCTATGAAATCTTTGATTTTTTTCGCAATATTGCTAGATCAAAGCTATTATTGAATTATTGAATTTATGAGGTATATTGTTAGGATAATCCTAAACAATTTCGATCGTGTAATAATTGTTGATAAAGATTAAAAAAAAATTGAACCCGGAAGCGGAAAAAAACCTTGCAGAAACTGATAAAGACTATTTATTATTGTGGATTTGTTAACAAAAATTAAGAATGTGTGTCATCAAATAACTCTTAATTACAATTATACTATAAACGAAAATTGAAGGTCTTGCAGTCCAAGATTCAGAAGATTGAGAGAATTTGGGCTAACAGCATAATTTCGGCCAGAATTAATTAGTAATAATAATCCCCAGATCACCATATTAAGATCATGGGAGGATCATTAATAATACCCTGACCGTATGTTAATAAGCGGAAACAAAGCTTCCGCTAATTCCCAACAGATCAGGATATTATTATTACTAAAATATTCCGAAAGCATTATGCATAGATCACTTTCAGTGTTAATTATAAGTCACATAAGCATTTTTTTTTTTAGTAATACTTTAACTTTATTTGCCTTGCACATAAGTATGTTCGTACTACGTACCTAATTTAATGAAAATCATGAACTCTACGCTACATTCTTTCAAGATATGTTTTCATAATATAATTCTATAATTAAAAATGTCGATCATGTTAATGATAATACAAAAACAATTTAGAACGTCAACTATCAATTTGTATCGCATAAATTTAGTAATCCGTGAGACCCATGCGATGAAAATCATTACCTTGGACATTAATTGAGTCTGTAAATATAAATTTGCAGATGATTGCTATTGTGGATACTAAATTACATGATTAACTAGTACACGTGGATTTATGAGGCCAAAAGTAAAGTAATTTCATATGATGATAGACAAATACAGTTGTAAATTTTAATTTAGTCACAACGAAAAACAGACATATCAAAATATTTACATTTTTAGAAGTACTTTAAGGCAAAGATGGTAATTGACCTGAAATGACTCAAATGACTAAAATAACTCAATGACAGATGACTAGTCATTAGTCACTTTAAAGCCTTAAATGTCATTTGACCAATGTTAATTGGCACGTGTTAATTCTGTGCCGGGCTTGTGAAGTTAACAAAATTATTTATTATTCATTGATGTCAGGGTTAGCGTTTATATTAAGGTCAGATGTTAGCAAATTATATAGAAAATCGCTCAAAAATATATATTTTTTATTAGAGCATCAGAGTTGGTTTTTACGATCCTGCTCATTTCATAAACAATAACTTTATAGACAAACACTTCATTGGCAATCACTTCAATAGACATCCTATTTTACAGACGGTTAATTTATCGCATGTTTGATTTTACTGAAGATCAATTTACAGACAAGTTCATTTCATAGACAGATTATTTCATTGACAGCTCATTTCATCGACAAAGTAATCATAGTCATTATTGTTTGGTTAGGACTAGAATTAGATTTAATGTTAATGCAATTTATGAAACAACTTGTATATATAATGAGTTGTTAATGAAATGAACTGTCGATTAGGCTTCCGCAAGGGCTCGGGCTACCCACAGGTACCCTGAGGGTAATACCACACAGACCGGGTTAGGGTATTAATTTTTGGGCCCTAGGGTAAGGGTAAGGGCTCAAAGTCACTAAGCCCTTATATAGACAGGTAGGGCTACGAGCAACAGTACCCTACCCTTGTACCCACGAATACCCGGTACTAAATAACCTGCCAATTATAATCCAGGTTCTATCGCTTTCTATCACTATGAATAAACTACAGTATATTACACATGAGATTATCTTTGCTTATATTTATATAAAAAAATCAACATTTTTTTTTCTCTTTGGTTTAACCCCACATTAATAATACAGATGTCTTAATTACAATGTACTGTCGCATAGTTCTTGGTGAACCCTTATACTTAATAAGAAGGATGCTAATAGATAACGAATCTTGTAGTGAAATGGAAAATAATAATCGAGTTGGTGAAGTGAAAGTTGAAACGAACATATTATGTAATGCCGTAACCGACCAAAATTATTATTGGGATTACAGTGTTGGGCGGCATTATGAGATTAAATTAGTAAAATTTAAGTTTATTGAAATGCAATATAAAGAATAAAGTAGTAAGTCAGTTTATTAATAATCAACATTGTACAAAATAGTATAATGAAAATTAGTATAAATAAAAATTGAAAGTTAGTCTTTTGACTGGCAAAAAAAGGGATAACGAAATATAGAGTGTTGTACTTGCCTGTAAAGTGTTGGAACGAAGGTGTGGAAAAGAACGAAGGTGTAGAAAAGTCAAGCAGGACCATAAATATAAAGTAATACCGTTTGGTTGAGATAACAGTAACTGTGATTACTGTCTAACGCTGTAATATATACACACTAATTACAACATACGCACTAATTACCAACATATAATTACCAACGCACTAATTACCAATGCACTAATTACCAATGCACTAATTACCAATGCACTAATTACCAATGCACTAATTACCAATGCACTAATTACCAATGCACTAATTAATTACCAACGTACATGCTAATTACCAGCATTCTAATCTATCAACGCACGCACTAATTACCAGCATACTGAGCTACCAACGCACTGAATTACCAACCAAGAAAAGTGGAAAGCCATAAGTAAGATATTAGTATTGCTGTAACTTCTTGCTTTCATTATACTGGAACATTAAAAGCTAACAATACATCTACTGATATAAAATTACAAAGTCATGAAAGATTTTATGGACAATGATGCCTATAATTATAATAATTATGATGTTGATGATATAATAATAGATGTCAACTCAGTTACTAGCTTAACCACTTACTCTAAAAGCATTAATAGCACAACTAGTGAAACTGTTAGTGAAGTCACTAGTGAAATCACCAACAAAATCATTAGCGAAATCACCAGCAAAATCACCAGCGAAACTACTAGTGATAATACTAGTGAAATCATCAGCAAAATTACTAGTAAAGCCACTAGTGAAGCCACTAGTGAAACTACTAGCGAAAGGTTTACATCCCCTGTTTGAAACACTTTGCTCAGTTAAAAAAAGAACAAAAAGCTTAATGTGAACATTGTAAAGGTTTACTTAGTCATAAAAAAGGAACCAGAATATCTCACTTCGGCACCATCTTGATTTATGCCAAAAATATAAAAGATCGTTATCTAATGAATTTAACTCAAATGGGTTTAATTCAGGATCTAATGGACAAACAAAATTGAGGTTTAATATAAACCGAACATCCACAAAAGAGTTGGTCAGAAAAGACATAGCAGATATGGTTGTTTTGGATGAACTAAGTTTTCAATTTGTGGAAGGGCAAGGTTTCCAAAAGCTAATTAGAGAACTATTACCTGATTTTATTGTTAGTGCTGACTCGATAAAATGAGACATTATGAATACTTATAATAAAAGAAAAGCACTGATTAAGAACATACTCCAAAATGCTGAAGGCAAAATCTCTCTTACCTGTGATTGTTAGACATCTCTCCAACAGCTTGTATACTTGGCAATTACTGCTCATTTTTTTGATAAAGAATGGAATCTTATTTCGATTATACTGTCATTCGTATTAATTCCTTATCCCCACACTGGTATTAATATCGCCAATTGTATCAAGACTGAGGTAGATGGGTGGTTTATTACTACTAAGGTAATTAGATAAATTATTGATTTTATTGCATTAAAGTTAGAGTTTGGTAAATTAATGTGAAATAACTTTATATAATTTATTATAGTTGCAAACTATTACTCTTGACAATGCAGCTTCGAATGATGTCGCAATCCATGAACTAGCTAACAATATTTCTCAAGACTCATTCATAGAAATTAACAAAGATTTTTTTCATAATCCTGTTTCGCTCATATTTTAAATATTATTGTAAAAGATGGGTTAAAAGGAATTTCAGAGGTTATTAAAAAGTAATTGCATGTTTATTTTGGAGATACCATGGATTATCGAATGATTTATTTCAAATAAATCATTTGGTAACCTGTGGTATCCTATATAAAAATTTTGATTAAGGTTTAATTTAGTATATAAAAATAATAAAATTGTCAAATTTTTTAGATTTGTAGTTATACTAAGGCAATACACACATCACCAAAGTGGCGCTAAATATTCTTAGACATTTGTGAATCTGAATCTGTAAAGCCCACAATTCTACTGTTAGATTGTGAGACGCGTTGGAATGCTACTTATTTGATGTTGCAATCAGTTATTGGAATTAAGAATGTGATTATCAGAATGAAAGATAGAGATAAAATGTTTTCTGATTTATCTGAGGATGATGAATGGAAAAATGCGGAAGCCATCTGCAGTATTTTAAAACCATTTTATGATTGTAAGTTTTTAATAAAACTACTAATGAGTAGGTTGGCAGATTATTCGATTTTTATATGTAATTTTTGAACAATTTTTGTATATAAGAATATACTATATCTTATTTGACTAATAATAAATAATAAGATTATAATTTAATTTTATTTTTTGGGATATTTTTTGATTTTTACCAAAAAATAGATACTTTAAAAGCATCAGCAAGTTCTTATCCAACACTTAACAGCACTCTTGCTTCAATCTGGAATATTCGTACCCACCTTTTGTGTACGAAATCCCATACAAATAGTTTTATTCATGTTATGTGTCAACTTATGATTGGGAAGTTTAATAAGTATTAGGAAAACTGTAGTATTCTACATATGATTGCATGTATCCTTGATCTCTGTTACAAAATGCAATTCATTGAATATTATTATCGTAAAAAAAAAAAATTAGAATTTTATGATCTTAATGAAAAATTACAAGACATTTAAACAAAGTATGTTTATTAATTTTAATAAATTGGCTTTATAGATTTCAATTATTTTATACTAATGTTTAAAAAATTAGATTTGAAGATATATATCTTCAAACGTATTATCCTTTATCAACTGTTGAACATTTACCAAATAATAATAAGGTTATCGTCAGTGCTGAAAATGATACATTGATGTTTGAGAACCATGTTAACAATTTTTTTTTGAATATACGGTAAAGCAAACGTGAGTTAGTGAAAATGAGTCATTTTATGAAGTCAAACGATATTTGGATGAACAAATTGCAACAAGAACTACTAATATTTTTGAATGGTAGAAATGTAATAAAGACTGGTTCCCTACTTTATTTGTGATGGCTCGAGACTTTCTTCCTATATCTGCTACTAGTGTTGCTTCTGAACAAGCGTTTAGTTGTACAGGTCGTATTATCGATGATAATCACACTTTGTTAGATCCAGACACGGTAACTGCATTGATGTGTCAAAGAAATTGGCTAAAAGTGTCTGAAAAATTTGGTTGGGATTTATAAATCTATTATAGAATCATTGATAGTAAAGTAATAAAGTGCAACTTTAAATAAAGTGCTTTTTTAAAAAATATTTGTATAGTTTGTTAAGTATTTAGTTGTTTTTCTTTTTTTTTAATCACAAATTTATTAATAAATTCAAACATTTATTGTGCTTCAAAAAGATGTGATATCTTTGAATTACAATGCTATAAGATTCTGTAAATTTTAAGAATTTGACTAATTTCAAAAAATGACAATTAAAAATATTGACATTTTAGA